AGCTGCTCGGTGTGCGCGTTCACGATCTCCGCGAGGTTCTTCCGGCCGTGGTGGAGGAGGATGAGGACGCTCTCCCCGCTGTGCAGCCGCAGGGCGGGGGGGGGGGTCGAGGTGGCCTCCTCGCCGCGAGGGGGCGCCAGGGAGGGGCCGTTGACTTTGGTGTACCGCGGCGGCGAGAGAGGGGCGCTTTCGATCAGCTCGGCTAACTGCGCGACGCTGGAGAGCGTCGTGAGGGCCCCACGGGTGTGGGGGAAGGGGATTCTACAGAGCGAATGCCTCTGGCGTGTGGCGGGAGGCGGGTGCTTCGATTTCGTTAAGGGCGTGGGGAAATCCCGACGGTATCGATCCGCCGCGTGCGCCTTGGTCGCGGGTTCGAACTCGAGAGGCGAGACCTCAGGCGTGCTCGGAGCGGTGTCGGCGACCAGAGAAAACGGTTCGTGGGTGATCGAGGCCCCCGTAGAGGGGTCTGGGGATGATACGCGGTGCACCCGGACCGAGTTGCCTTCCCCAAAGACGGGTGGTGAAAGAAAAGAAGTAGCACCGACGCTCGGATCCACCACCGCAGGCTCGTCATCATTCGAAAATGGACGCTCTTCAACGCGTCTTACTATCTCATTTGCGGAAAAGCACATATTGGATGTTTCTAGGGAACTTACCTTCTGCGATAAAATCTGCGCCACCTCTGCTTCATCCTCGTATACTCGGCCGATCCCCATATGATTACTGAAAGCAAGAGATTCGTCCTCGGTACGATGTCGTTTTCTGAATCTACCTGCGAGTAATGCACTGTCGCCCATCTCCGGATAGAGCATCGTCTAGCTGAAATAATACAAGGAGTAACAGCGCGAGTAGGAACTAAAATGAAGATTTTATGTTAAGGTCGACTTTTTGGACACTATAGCCACAGAAGTACTAACCAAAGTAGTCAGATCGTGTTGAGTTTTATCTTACTGTAAAGCAGTTACACTCCGCTCTCTCCTCTGCCTCCAAAGAATCGCCACGTATCTGGAAAGGAAAGACGAAGATAGCAGTACTGGTGCTGATAATGGTCGTTGTGGGGTAAATAAAGAAATAATCTCCGCTCTCGTTCCTCGTATGAAAAGATTGAAGAAGTCAAGAGACCAATCGAACAAGATTGCGTGTTTTTGAAGGATAGGCTTCGCTGAAAGAGAGGATTTATTCTAATAATTCAAGCCAAATAACATAATAGCAAAACCTTGAGACCTTGAATAAGAGGAAAAAAAATAAGGGAAGACAGTGAATTGAATAAAATGGAATCAATACGTTAAGGCAAAACATCCATCACGAGGAGGCAACGAAGGAAACCAGCCAGGGAGGAGCACATTCCTCGGTCATAAATGTATATAAATAAATATATATATTAAAAAATTTCCTTACCTTTTGGTCACACAACTACAAAAAAAAGTCCTCCAAAAAAATGACGTTATGTTAACTACTTCTTACTCCTTTTAATCATAAATGTGTGCCTTTTAAATACTAAGATAGAAAACGTCACAACAGAAAGGAAGTGCTTTTACAGGTCATATATAAATTAAAGACAAAAAGGGTAGAAGTTGCACAAAATCGAAAAATTCTAAGATAATGGAGGCGAAAAACTTCTCTGAAAAGACCTTTGAAACACATACACGGGTAGGAAAAACCTTATTATTAATTTGTCGTTGATTTCTTTAAGATCATTTGTATTAACGCATAAAGACATGATAACCTCTACATGTGTGAGAGCCCAAGAGCATGTGGAAATGCCGAAATGTCTGGACGAACATGGGTGAATAAAGAAAATACGTTTCAGTCCATGTAGTATGAATGGTTAGAAAAAAGTGAAATCAAAGGAGTAAAAAGAAGGTCATAAAAGAAGGGATGTGAGGGTGGAAGGTGCCGAATTGGTTTTCCCTCTATCGCCTTGGGTGCTTCCTTTAACATGCTAGTCACTTCTATGTTGCTAAAAACAAGACTTGATGCCTTTATGGATAACTCAAGTAATCCTAAAAAAACATTCTAGCTGCATTTTTTCTTATCCACATTAGTCTGGCTTTTCTATACGAGTGCAGTCATAGCATAGTCTTTCATTTCCAATATACGCGCGGTTTTCTAGAGATGAAGTTAAGATGCTGACACCTTCAAATGAATCCGTGTCCCCGAAAAAACATGTACAGTAAGAAAGGGGGACATACAGTATGGGAAGTATTTATTTTTCGCTTACCACGGATCTTTTTATTCTCTGTAGGAACTTCTTCTTTCCTTGCGATAACTTCGCATCATTGATATAGATAGTGAGAGAAATTGAATGAAAATAAAGGGATTCAGAAGGGCGGTTCAGATTTATAGTGAAGAATCCAACAAGGAGAAAAAATAAAGAAACCACTAAGAGCTTCGGGTAAATATCATTAATTTTTCTTTCACTTGATTAAAAAATTCGAAGGGGACAAATTTAATTCAGAAATGATAACCCCGTTGCAATTATCTCGTTTGGAACTCCAGCTTGTTGCGAGTCTCAGCTATTTAACCTTTCGCCAATACAGTCTTAAACAAATACGAAACGGTACCATCTTGGGGAAGACCTTTAAAAGCTTAACGAAAGGAAAGCTATGAACATATACATATAACTCTTTACTTACTCTCACGCTTCTTCATTTTTAAAAAGAAGTTTACTCATTATTTCTTTGTCTTTCTCCCCGCCAAGCCGATGCCCGAACCCACTTTTATTTTACTTGAGTAAACGTTCGTGTGTGTGGGAGATAATTCAGGGTCACCTGAAACTCGCTTTTAGGATATAAAAATAAACAAAATGAATGAAACCCTATACAAATCAATCAAACAAACTAATAAAAAAACTAATATTTAATTAATATCTTGAAAACGAGCCAACATCGCACAAGTGTTGACAGAAAAGAAACCCAACATGCATCAACTGAAGATTTTTCGAACAGGGGGAATATGCACTGTATACAAAATGAGTTGAAAACATGAAGAAAAGATGTTGCTCATCATATCGACAATAACTACAGTGATCAAAAATATACAGACGGCTTTGCACGAGACTTAAGCGCTGGTTTTATTAACGAAGAGAGCAAAATACAAGCTATAAAGTAATGTATGCGTCTTATTTTTGAAAACGATCAGCTAGAGGGAAAAGTGAATCGAATATGACGTAGCTATTCTTCCGTTATTTATACTCTCTTTTTTTCTTCTCAACAAACCAAACCCTAAGCCTCCTTCATTACGTGTACCTCTTATTAGTGCCTTTACGAATGCGAGTACACGACTGTGGAGTTTTTCTTCAAAAAAAAACTATGTTAATCCCCAATTTTTTTCTTCTTTTCATACACCTTCTTCAGTTGTATGCTTTCCCTTTGGATTCCTCTTTCCTTATGCGACGTAGAACTCTTTGTCGATCTCCGCTGGTATCGGCTTGATTTCTGTATCAAGTTCTTGTTCAATTCGGTAGACATTGTGCCGATCCTCGTAGGTCACGAAGTTAATCGCGAGGCCCAAGTGGCCGAAGCGCCCGGAGCGACCTATGCGATGTAGATAGGTTTCCGCATAGCGAGGAAAGTCAAAGTTGATAACGACGTTTACGGCTTGGATATCGATACCACGCGTGATGAGATCTGAGCACACCAAATTTCGGCAATGCCCGGCACGGAAGTCGTGGAAAACACGGTTGCGATGCTGTTGCTGCATGCGAGCGTGAATGTAGAAGCAACTGTACCCCAGCTGAGTAATCTTCTTCGCCAACAGCTCGACCCGGTTGACGCTATTACAGAAGATGATGGACTGATTGATTTGCAGCTTGTTAAAGAGTGTGTTGAGGCAGTGAATTTTCTGTCGTTCTTGCAAGAAGGCGTAGTACTGAGTCACACCCTTCAATGTGAGCTCCTCCATCAGGTTGATTTCATATGGATGGTTGAGGTGGCGCTCGGCGAAGTCCTTCACCGTGACCGGGAACGTGGCCGAGAAAAGCAACGATTGGTGGTTCTTGGGCAGGTAATTGTAGAGTTCCTCGATCAGGTGAGAAAACTCCGGCGAGAGGAGCTTGTCAGCTTCGTCCAGGACGAAAATGTGGCAGCGATCGAGACGGGCTGCGTTTTTGCTAGCAAGATCCACAACACGGCCAGGGGTCGCGACGAGGATGTGCACGGGGTTAGTCAGACGTAGGATGTCATCTCGGAGGGTGGTACCGCCGGTCGTGACCATCACCTCAAGACGGGGGATGTGCTTGCCAAGCTCCTTGGTGACCTGGGCGGTCTGGAGGGCGAGCTCGCGAGTGGGGACCATGAGGAGGGCCTGTATGTAGGGCTCACGGGTGTCTACCTTCTCGAGCACTGGGATGACAAAGGAGGCGGTCTTGCCCGTGCCGTTCTTCGCACGGGCTAGAACATCCTTGCCTTGAAGTGCGACTGGGATCGCCTCTTCCTGAACAGGGCTGGGTTTCTCAAAACCCTTCTCAAAGATACCCATCTGCAACTCACGGCGCAGGGCATACTCCTCAAAACTGACGTTACGGCGAGACTCCACATCCTCGGTTTTCTTACGTGTGTCTCGCTTAGGAGGGACGAGAGACTTCTTCCAGTCTTCGTCCGTCATAGATGTTTTCTTCGCTTGCATGATTTATTATTGGTTTTATAGATAGCTTCCAAAGAAAAAGAAGATATTCTATCTCTCCTTCCTTATGGTACGTAGTCGAGCAATTGTGTCGCTTAGGCTTTTTTTTTTAAAAGGTAGAAATATAGGAAAATGATTTTTGAAACTAGAACCATGGGATAACAACATGACACAGCAGCAGCATCTTTTAAATTAAATAAACACAGTAATGTGTTTCACTTCATTGATTTGCATGACAACGATGAATTATCATTGTCACATTAGAAATGGTAAGTAAGCAAACATACTGGAAATGAAGAGTGACAATCGCATTCGCATTATTATGTATTTTCATAATAGATCACATGGATCTAGCTATGAGTCCTTTATGATCAAAACTTTTTTGTCATTTCTTCCCCCTCGCACGAAGGAGTTGCGCACTGGTGAGAATAAATTTTATTCATTTATCAAGACACCACCGTACCCTTTGTGAAATCGACTTCAAGGTTACCCATAGTAAGCTTCGCTGCATCAACAAACACGTCTATATGATACTTACCTTCCTTACGCTTCAGCACAGGTCCCTTAACATGGACATCACCGACCACGGAGCCATCCGCGTTGCGGGGTGCTTTCTGCTTTACGAAGAGAGGGTGCCGTTTGCCCAGCGAAAGATGAATCCCCCACTGCCGCTCGAACGAGGTCACGTCCGAAAGGATATGGGAAAGCCCACTGAAAGGGTTTAGGCCAATACCTAGCTCTCGCACCCAACAATCACCCTCCGACTGCCGCACTAGGCTCAACATATCCACAAACTCATCAGGGGCGTCCTCACTGACGCTCGCGACGCGCCCGCCCTCAATGGTCATCAGAAAAGGCTTTGGCATAGATAAAGTAACGTGTTTGAAGCGATCTGGAAATGCAAAGACCTCGCAGATGCCGTTTAACATCGAAAGGTCGAACGATTCGCTGATGACCTCACCAATTGGAAAGGTACCGCCGATACTTGCCGATATACGAGAACCAGTCGGTTCGGTAGCCAAAGAACTGCCGGTTCGCCGCGTAATGCCACTATGCTCGTCATCGTCACTGTCGATCTTGGGCGATTTGTTAGGCTTCTGACCCTTCTGCTTGAGCATAGCGAGATAATCTTTCTTTTTCATACCCCCACGCCCCACAGCTTCTGCGGCTGACGAGGACTCTGGCGAAGCTTTTTGCACTCCCATAGGCGGAGCAGAAGGGGATGCGTCGTTTGTACCGCAGACGAAACGTAGGCGATGGGCGTGTACGTCATTGCGTGTTGCCTCCCATGCCGCTGGGTAGTGCCCCGTATTCATGAGGCAGTCCTCCATACCGCCAGAAAAGATCAGAACGTGCTGAGGATCTCCTTTACACACAATCCTTAGGGGTTCTCCAACTCCACTGATCGACTCATCACCGGGTACACCACCGCTGCCCTCGAGGACCTCGGTTTCCCCCACGCCATTCTCCAACCCCCTCCAAGCTATGGAGCCGGTCTTTAACAGCTTCCATACGGAGGCATCCTGAATGCAACTCCTCAATGATTCTGGTGGTGGTATAAACCCCTTTGTGGTTCCATCCGAGACCTCCTTGCCATCAGTGCGTTGCGCTTCCCAGGACGGCCGCCTCCATGCATAGCCATCGATGGAGTCGGCGATTGCTCTTCCAATGGACTCCGCAATACTCGGTCGCAGTGAGCAAGATCGAGCGTAGCTGTAGACCTGATCGTCCGCCAGAGCCTCAACATAACGGCCGGCCGCCGCCAGAACATCCGCTTCGACACTCATGCACTCCAGATGGCAGTGCTCAGCCACGCGCAAGCCCATATCAAATAGACTAAGACGCAGCCGATACTGCTTCAGCTCGTTCTGGAAGGCGTTCCGCTGAATTAGAATAACTCCAAGTAACTCGCGGAGGGGCGCTCTTGGACCACGAAGGAAGGCAGAAAACTTTGCGGCTTGTTCGTGCAATATGTGATGTACAAGTGGACTACTTTCCTCATCACCAGCTGCCTCTTGAACATCCATGGAGGGATGGGCCCCACCTGCGGGGAGCGGCTGCAAATACGCGGCCAACTCATTCAAACTGCCCAAAAACTGCTCATCTGTCCAACGCGCCGATGCGATGACGCCTGCGTCGGATGTGGCCTCAGCCGTGGAATTGTGCACCGCTTCGCCTCCGCACTGACGGAAAAAGGACTGCAGATGCTTCACATCCTTAACAAAGCTGAACCGTGAGAAGGGTACAATGGAGTACGAGATAGAACTCTCGCCATGATCACCCCCTACGTCATTGGAGGGAGAGAATAAGCCAGATGACCCGCAAGGCGCCATCGTCGTGTGATTCAACGAAATGAAAGTCTTCCCGGAGCTGGCTTCCTCCAGCTTGTCGGAATTCTCTGCGTGATTGTTGTACTCCTCAAGAATCTGATGATACCCCTCAATCAAGGCTTTCTGCTGTACGCACGGGACGCTGTCAACAACAAGCAGGACATGTGGAATAGCACCCTTGAACGCATTAATTCGCAAGCTCTCAAAGAGCAGGGTTTGTGCGCACGCACGAGCCGCAGAAATAGTTGCGAGCGCGTTCATATTTGAGTGAATCAGTATCTAAAACAAAAAGAAACACTTAGATTTATGTATACGCGAATATGTATGCGAAAATAGGAACTGTCTTCTTTTTTATTCGACTTTAATGCTATCCGTCATTTTTTTGAGAGTTTTTTTTTGCCAATGACGAGGGGAAAAGAGCTGTACGGGGACATTAGAAGACTGCCCAAGCACGCAGACCCTATTGAATGATCGTATATGACATAAATCGAAAAATCAAAGCGATTTGTTTTCTGTGAATAGTAATCTAGTCGCTAAGCAAAGCCCACTATATGGTGATTCACACCTCTAAAGGCACCAGATGGAGTACACGGCACAATATTAGGAAATCCTTATATTTCCTCTTTTATACACTTACTAACTTTCCTTTCCTAGTGGACTCACCAAAAACGCCACCACACCGGGTAATGAGCGCTTAGGTCATAAGGAAGACTATGGCGTTGGGATAACTCCATTGCACGGCGATAAAGCACTCGGTGGGATAGACGCGGGGCAGGCAATGCACCGTCAACGGTGCGCTCTCCTGACCTTTCACGTGTGAACGCGCTGACGGAACCGCCGCGAGCCAAAACAATAACATTCGCAGAGGAAGGGCATGGAATGAGATAGGTGTTGGCATCTCCAAAGATCCTCTGGCACTGCTGCACAAATGGCCGATCCCGCGCAGGAAGGTTAAAGGCAACAACGCCATAGGAAGAAAGCGAAGACCGGCACAATGTCAGAAACTCAGCAGAGGCCACCCCGTCTGCGAGATCGCTGCCCATGAAGAGATCAACGAAAAGGATGTCGAATGGTCTTGCCCTTGTCCGCTTAGAAAGGGATGGAAGGGGTAAACGGGATGGCGTAACTAGTAGCTTTGCTTTCTCGACGATCCGTGAGGGAGGTATAGAAGAAGAAGCGGAAGAAGGACCGCTGATGGGTGGCTCCGCATCACTAAAGCGTACCTCCGTTGACGAGGAGGAGGAAGATACAGGAGCAGGGACCGCTTGTGTCGATGCGGTGGGCGTGCCGTTCATCGGGCGATAGGGCGTAAGTAGAGATAAACCCGATATTTGGCCTTGATGTTTCCGTAGAAAAGAGGCTGCGTCTTCGAGATGCACCTTGGTAAGCGGTGAGCCCGAATAGGGCTCCCCTTCCGGTGCTTCTGGGGATCCCAGAGCCAACCCATGCTGGTTTAGTGCATCCCAAAAACCAAGATCCTGCACAGCAGCACGGATACACATCGGCTCAAGATCCACAAGGTCCAAGCAATGAATCGAGCGGCTAAAGTAATGCAGAAGGAACAATGGCAACGAGCCGCCGCCAACGCCGAGAATCCCCACTCGCATGGGAGGTAGCGACGACGGCAACAGCAGGAAGGCGCTCAGCATAATGCGCAGGTAGTCAGCGCCCAGGTAGGAGGGGTCCGCCTCGCAATTCGTTCCCGGTATAATCGAGAGGGGTAAACAACGAACAAGCGATTGATGCGTGGCGCGGTGAACCAGACGCCGTAATGTGTCCGACGGAGCGCACGTGTCGTTGGCCACGCCGCCGTTACTATTATCACCACAGACCCCTGACGTAAACTTATGAGATTCTAAAGACAGACTAACATACTTCTCCGTAAAAGGAGGCCATCCAGCAGAGGCCACCAACTCCTGTCTAGGTGAAGTATCATCACTACTCAATTTGTTATCTTTCATGCCAAAATGGTACCCAGTTCCCTCGAGTTTTGCGTCTGTTTGACAAGTTCCAAGGTCCGAGGATACGGTCTGCTGCTGCACTATTATACGAGTTTGCGACAGATTGCCATCACAGCTCCGGCAATCCGAGTTGCTTCCCTCCAAAGAAATCGGAGACGACGACTCCGTGAGGGGCTCACCTTTGGGGCTCGTAGGACATTGATACCTCAAGGAGGAAGAGACCACAGTATGTGTTTCGTTGGAAAATAGAAGCATAAAGCGATGCAAACGGTTTCGTATTTCGCTAAAAAAAGAAGAGCATAGCGGGAAGAATGCGACGCTCCCCTTGTCCACATCAGTTAACGCTTTGTCGTCGACGGAAGCAGCTTGAGTTAGATGCGTTGAATTGTGCAGAAATCGATGTGCCGCAACGGGTGGCGCCGGTTTTCTCAGGTAATAGTTCCTTACGACAACATCCATGCCCTTCAATGCAGTGCATGCGTATCGCGCGTGCTCCTCTACATGTTGCACAGCGGCAGGGCTGAAAAATAAGTCATGGTTACGGCGAGACCGATACGTGTCAAATAAGAAATGACCCGCCAACACGGTCATCCCACTCGTTAAATACAGAAACCATTGATAAGAAGGTACTTTAGTAGCGTAGGGCATGATCAGCACGGACGGAACAGGTATGTAATCTTGTAGTGTGTATTTCCCTTGGTGGCCGCTACGCTCTGTCTCTCAGATCTCGCACCTCTCCAACTTTGACGTGATCTCCTCAGAGAAAGGAAGAAAATGAATGCCTATACACCTCTCACAGATTACGCGTGTTACCTAATACAAGGATGTATATCTTAAACATGTATATATATATATATATATCCTTGACCTTTTATAAAGTGATGCCAAAGAAATATAATTTAATTCAAGTTCTCAATTACTAGTTTGTTCTTTCCACGCTTATCCTAAGCCATTACCAATCGGGTGGTATCTCTTGTGTAGAAGCAAGAGTAAATAATCTAAACACAGATCAAATTGTCCAGCCTAGTTTACCTTTTTTGCGCTTTTTCCAGCTTCTTGCAGCCGGATACGTTTCACTATACGATAATGAATCTTTGAAAATACAGCAAGCCCAAGACATAATAGCCCGGAAAAAAAGACCTGCGCGAGTAGGGTGCACTTACTCGTCACGGGCTCCATGCCCGCTGAGCCCAAGCTAAGCAACATACCATCCCCACCAAGGGTGATATCAAAACGGTAGTGCTCGATACCGGAAACGATTGCCTCGCCCATATCAGAAGCACTAAAGGGACTAGATCCGCCAAAAGATGAAATAGCCCGACACTCGGGGCTTTTGATCTTTTCCTCTTGCTCATACCCTGGTGTCGCAACATCAGGAGGGCTGACCACCTGCACGCGCACACCTAAACAGCTGTTCTCCATGTCCACGCTATGGGCGAAGGCACGCAACGCTGCCTTCGTGGCTGCGTACAAGGAGTAACCTGCAATGGGTGCTCGCGCCGCCATGCTGCTAGTCAGCACCACCCTCCCCCGCTTTGCTTCCAACATGCTGGGCAACAGCGCCCAGAGGAGGCGCAGGCAGCCGTAGTAGTTCACCTCCATCATTGCCTTCGCGTCATCGATAGTGCAGTCGGCGAAGCGCATCGGCAGTGCAAAACCAGCGTTGCAGATCAGCAGATCGATCGTCTCATTACCGCAGAGGCGCTCGGCCGCTAGAACGCCCTCCCGCACGGAGGCCTCGCTCGAGACATCCATGACGACGTAGTGGACCTGCGTAGGGCTACCTGCTGCGGCAGCAGCAGCCTGGACG